TGGATCCCATGGATTCTCATAGGAGACTTCAACTCCATTTCTAGAGCTTGTGAGAAACAAGGGGGGCTGCCTTCAACTTTGCTAAGGTTCGTGCCTTCAATGAATGTATGGAAGACTGTGGCCTTTTGGATACAGGTTTCACTGGACCAAAATTCACTTGGTTCACAAGAAACAGTGGTATCAAAGAAAGACTGGATAGAAGCATCTGCAATCTCAATTGGCACCATAAGTTCCCTGGAACTACTACTCTACACCTGAATAAGATCAAATCGGATCAAGACCGATTTTGACTTGCACCTCCACTGAACCTGCCAAACTGAAACTGGCCAGAAGATTCCAGTTCTTTGCCTCATGGCTTGCACATGAGAACTTCCCTGACTTTTTGAAAGCTGTCTGGAGTGGTGGAGGAGACTTTCCACAAGCCTTGCACCACCTTGCCGAAAAGCTGGAACAATGGAACAAGGAGGTCGATGGAAATATTTTCAGAAGGAAGAAACAACTGCTGAGAGAGCTTAAATCACTTGAGCTGCTGAATGAGAGAAGACCTACAACTACATCATTGGAGAAAGAACAAGAAAAAAGAGAGGAACTGGAGGACACCCTCTGGCAGGAAGAGATGCTATGGATTCAAAAGTCTCGGACTAACTGGGTGATCTATGGAGACCTGAACACCGGGTACTTCCACACCTGCACCCTCAGCAAAAGGAAAAGAAGCAAGATTACCTGCCTTCAAGATGATCAAGGGCAGTGGATCAGTGATGCTGACGCCCTCCTCACAATGGCCAGGGAGTATTTCTTGCAACTCTTTACCAAGTCTGTTATGATTGATAGTCATGCCATCCCTGCTAATTTTCCTATCATTGAAGATGGCTTGTTGAATAAGTTGTCCTTCTGCCCTAACCATGAGGAGATTAGAATGGTGATTAAGGAAATGAATGGACTTAAGGCCCCTGGTAAAGATGGCTTCCAAGCTATCTTTTACCAAAAATGTTGGGATTCAGTTGGAAAGGACTTCTCCTCTTTCATTGCCTCTTGCTTCATGAACCCCAGCAGAATCAAAAGCCTGAATGAAAAACTGTTGGCTTTGATTCCAAAAGTGGATAACCCCTCCTCCATGAAACAGTTTAGACCTATAAGTCTTTGTAATGTGGGATATAAAGTTGTGGCTAAACTTATTGCCAATAGGATTAAACCTCTTATGGCTAAGTTAGTGAATAGTTTTCAATCCAGCTTCATACCTAACAGACACATCACTGATAATATTATCATTATGCAGGAAACTATCCATTCGATGGCCAGAAAAGTAGGAAAGAAAGGCTACATGCTATTAAAGATAGATCTTGCTAAAGCCCACGTCAGAATTGAATGGGAGTTTCTTGAGGACACACTCAGAGCTGCAAGACTACCTGAAGAATGTGTGAAGATGATAATGGAATGTGTTACATCCACAAGCTACCAAGTGCTTTGGAATGGAGGAGAGACTGAGAGTTTCAAGCCCACTAGAGGATTAAGACAGGGATGCCCTCTCTCTCCCTATCTTTTTACTCTTTGTATTGAAAGATTGAGTCACTGTATCTCCCAGGAAGTTAGCATTCATAGATGGAAACCTATCAGACTCTCACCTGGAGGACCAGAACTGTCTCATCTGTTCTTTGCAGATGATATAGTTTTGTTTGTGGAAGTTAGTCCACAACAAGCAGAGATTGTTATGAACTGCCTAGACAACTTATGTGTTGCCTCTGGAGAGTCTGTTAGTAAGGAGAAATCTAGGGTGTTTTTCTCTAAAAATGTGAAGAACCAGACTAGGAGTGTGATATGCAACCGACTAGGTATACAGGCAACCAACGACCTAGGAAGATACCTTGGTGTCCTAGTTATCCATGGGAGGATAACCAAGACCACCTACAAGTATATCCTGGATAGGGTTGACCAAAAACTTACTAGTTGGAAAGCCAGAACTCTGTCACTTGCTGGCAGAGTCACCCTCGCTATTTCTATTCTGAATGCCCTCCCCACCTATGCAATGCAGACTACCTTCTTGCCTGCTTCCATTTGTGATGCTATTGATAAGAGAGTTAGATCCTTCGTCTGGGGCTCTAGGGATGGGAAGAGGAAGTCCCACCTGGTGTCTTGGGAGAGCATTTGCAAACCCAAAGACCAAGGTGGACTGGGTCTTAAGTCTGCTAGAAACATGAATATGGCCTATATGATTAAACTTGGTTGGAACATGCTGAATAAAGATTCTGATTTGTGGGTTAGAGTTTTGCACGGGAAATATTTTAAGCAAAAGAATGGGGAAATTCTGTCAATGAAGAAGAGCAACCACTCTAACCTGTGGAAAGCTGTGATCAGAGGAATGAACTTGATGAAACAGGCTACCTGCTGGAGTATTAGAGATGGGAGATCAACTCGTTTCTGGACACAGCCTTGGGTGAACAATGATACCATTCTGCTGGACCATGCTACCATTGACATCACTGAGGAGGCGAGGGGTTCCTTGGTTGCTGACTGGGTTACTGAGGAAGGTAAGTGGGACTGGGATCAGCTCAGAATGTGCTTACCTGATGACATCCTCTCGACCATTGCAGGGATTGATGCACCTAACCAGGAGCTTGGAGAAGATACAACCTTCTGGGGAATGGAGCAAGATGGAAGATTCATCCTTAAGTCTGCATACAAGCTGGCTGCAGATATGGAGGAGATGGAAGCCAGTGGGAAATGGAAGGAGCTTTAGAAGTGGAATGGTGCAAATCGCATCAAACACTTCCTATGGCTTGTCACCCACGACAGACTACTCACCAACACTGAACTGTCAAGAAGGAAGATCTCCACTGCCAGCCTGTGTTGCCACTGTAAAGAGGAGGATAAATCAATTGAACATATCTTGAGAAGGAAGATCTCCACTGCCAGCCTGTGTTGCCACTGTAAAGAGGAGGATAAATCAATTGAACATATCTTGAGAAACTGCAGCAAAGCGAAAAGAATTTGGGAGAAGTTCATGATGAAAGACGTCACTAGGAATGGAAGACTTTCCTTCTCTAAATGGCTCTCCCTCAACATCAAACATGAACCAACTGCCACTGAGTTTGGGATTATCTGCTGGCAACTGTGGAAGCAGAGAAATGAGGAGGTAATGGAGGGGAGAGCTTTCTCTCGCGACAGTGTTTGTGCCAAGATCCAAGCCTGGTTCAACATTGTGCAGAAAGCCAACAAGAACATCCAGAAAACCTTTCCTGTTGTCAAACCTGCTAAGCAGAGTTGTCTTGTTGGCTGGGAACCACCTGAAGAAGGCTGGATACAACTCCAATCGAACGGTTCTACCCTCTCTCCCAGTGGTAAAGCTGCTGCGGAAGCCAATTCGGCGGCCCATTTCTTGGCTAGCAAGGCTCATAGCTCCACTTTTGGTACACATCCTTTCAATGTGTACGACAAGGATCTTGTACATTGGATCCGTCATGATGTAATCGGAGTTTCCCATGAACGTTTTATCTCTAATGTTACTTAGGCGCATTGCGTTTACCTTCTTACCAAAAAAAAACATCACAAAACTAGTATCCAACTCACATAATAAGTATTAAGCCAATCAATTACCAACTAATATCCACAATCAAACCAACTAGTATTCAATATGGATACTCTTATGTGTTATCTGGATACTAATTATGTGTTGTATAGATACTATTTTGTGTTGTCTAGATTTTAGTTTGTGAGTTTGGGATAATAGTTGATTCATGGTGGATATCAGTTGGCAAACCTTGAATACTAGTCTCTCCTCTCTAGTACTTTAGTACTTGGATACTAGTTCATGTATTTTGGATTTCAGTTAGTATCTGCTAACGAATCTTCAAGTTAGCATATTAACTTTTTCACAGTCCGTCAGTTGTGTACTATTGATGTGACCGCTGCCGACTTGTGATTTTCTGGGAAGGCCCCTCCAGATGTCACTGAAAAATATTTTTTTTTAATTACAAGTTTCTTCTTACTAAATAATTCCAAATTTGTTACTAAAAATATTTTATTTTTAGTAAATTACAAAGTTGGTCACTGCGATTACTAAAACATTTCAGGCTTGGTCACTAAAAATATTTAATTTCATTCCTATTCACTAAATGTACATTTTTGTTTCATATTTAGTCACTCTCCGTCCAACTTCGTGAACTTTGTCCTATGGGGCAGTCAACGCTAGTAGTTGACTGTTAAATGAGTGATATGACAAATAAAATAAATAGAAATAAATTTTTTTTTAACTTTTTCACCTCATTTCCTACTATTACAAAATAATAATTAAATTATATTTTTTAATCCAACAAACCCACGTCGTCCTCCACACCATTTTTCCCACCGCCGCCTCTCAATCACTCTTCCTGTCCTCTCTTATCCCGAGCGCCTCTGTCTCTGCCTCCTTCATAAGTGTTCCCTCCACCTTCATCGACTCGTCGGTAGTGATAGCAATTTCAACCCGTCCTGCGGGTATTACCCGACCTGACCCGCAATGGATCGAGTATTACGCGACCCACAGTAGCATGGGGCGAGGCATGGGTATCTACTTCCGACCCACCCTGCCCTGCCTCGTCCCGTTTTAGACCCATTTTATCCTATTTTGACTTTTCTTCAACTGATTAGAGTCGATAATTCAACTTGTTAGACTCAATTAGTCATTCTATTATCACTATTTTTCATTCAGAAAGTGTTTTTCCCTTCATTTTATCGTAAAAAAGTAAAATTTGCTTGTATTTTTTTTCAAATGACATGTAAGAGCGAGTGGACTTGCCCCGCCCCGTAGTAGCGTGGGGCGGGATATGGAATTTGAGGTACCTGCCGAACCCCGCCCCATTGCCATCACTACTCGTCGACATCCTCAAGAAAAGGTAAAGACTAAAGAGAAAGGACAACTTTCTCAGCAACCAAACAAATCCCAAGTAGGCAATCTATGATTAATCAAAGCAATTCGTTCCATTTAACGGTCGACTCCTGTCAAGCTTTGCGACCCGTATCCATGGATGGCAGTTGGGAATAGGGTGGAGGCTGGAAGACAGAGACAGTCGGGCCTCTTGAAGCTCTCGCTGATCCAAACCATTAGGAGTTGTGTGAAGACTTGGAGCGGGCTGTCGGAGAGCTGGGGGTTAAGATTTGGTGGAAACGGGAACTTGGTGGACACACAAGTTGGGAGTCGATGGCGGAGACAAGCTGGCGGGAGCAGAAGGGACGGCCGGCGGCTGCAGGGGACAGGATCGCCGGAGAACGTCCTTTGACGAGAAGAGAAAAGGTTCGGCTGCGGGTGAGGAAAAAAATGCCGAGGGTTTATAGACAGTTAGGGTTACGTTTTTTTAATTATTTTCAATTCCTTAAATATCCTTAACAACTAATTAACTAATAACTCCATACTTACTACCTAAAATTGAATCAGCCAATCACAACGCTTTAAGATCTTCCTTAAAAAAAACGGGTTTAAGGACCTGAACTTAGGCCTTATCTATTCTAGGTTAATTAGCCGCTAAATCAACATTACAAGCAATTAAATACGCAACAAAGCATTAAGGACGTCAATTAAACAAGATAAGCACTATAATTCAAACATCTCATGCACTACAAACATCTCATGAACATTATGTGTATTTGATGAATACATCCACTGTAAATACAAAAATTGTAAGAATTAAATGATTTGAAAAATGTCTTATTTGGTTGTAGTCATTCAAAAATTTTAAAAGAAAAGAAAAAAAATCATTTCATGAGCTAAAAGTGGAACAAATTAAAGCTCAAAATCTTAAAGAAAGAATCTCACATTTTTGTTGAAATTTAAAATGAGTGATTGTGGGTGATATGAGATTTGTTGAGATTCTCCAGAATACATGAATTCAAAAAATCATTTATCTAGAATCATAACTTCCAAACGACCCCTAGGTGAGAGTTAAGGGGATCTTGCCTCAAATACCTTAAAATACTTCCTCGACGAGAAAGAGGAAAGAAGACAAAGAAACGAAGAAAGTTGAACATAAAATAAATACCTCTTAAATAAGAAAATCAGCTACGATTCCTCTTTTCTTTCAGCTCGTCCTCTTCTTCTTGAGCTCTCTTCATCTCTAAGAAACACATCAACTTTCTCTTGATACTCCTACTTATGTTGGGTAAAAATATGCTATTCTTTCTCTCTTGGGGCCAGCCCTTATTCATAGAATTTGAAAATCTGAAAAAGTTCATGACCTTTCTAGAGACAACTCACAGCTATGAATACGGAAAGTGTCACATGAACTCACCGACTCACCGTGAAATCGTTTATGTCCTAATTTTGCTCGGAAATCATGACCAAAAGTTATGTATTGTTGTGGATGTACGTAACTTGTGTCTTGTGGTCTCGGGCAAAGGCCATGAGTAACCTTACAATATTCTTGACACTAGGTTACCGAAATTTACAGTTCGAAATATAAAGATCATGATCGTAAACATTTATTTGTACCCTGAACTTGAGATCACGATCGAGAACATTCTCAATCACGATCTTCTTCATTTTGCATGTCAATTCTCCTCCTCTTCTAAACCCTCATATTTTAATCACAAGAAGATAAAGATCACGATCGTGAACATTTATTTGTACCCTGAACTTGAGATAAGGATCGAGAACATTCTCGATCGTGATCTTCATTTTATCTTCATTTTGCATGTGAATTCTCCTCCTCTCTCTTCTACAATCAACGGCCTAATTATCCCTTAAATTACTTATAACCCTCATATTTTAACTACAAGAAGATATATCAAATGCACCCGTTCGCAAACAAATATCACATGAAAGCACCTAAATTATCAAGGATAATATAACATATATTTTAGGTATTACCAAATATTATTCTATTTTATTGTTTTGTACGACATCAGGATCGGTATATAGCCAAGGCGTCAAATTGCTGAAGTAGCAGTTCTATATATTGGATGGAGCATATTACAATTTCCCCGGTTGTTCGTAGGTGATTATGCTATAAAAAAAATGAACAAAAAAAGTGAACCCTACGTGAATCGAACACGCAACCTTCTGATCTGGAGTCAGACGCGCTACCATTGCGCCAAGGATCCTCTCTGTTCCAACCTCTTATATTAAATATAAGAACCATATTTTGAACATGATTCGTCTAAGCCAGACTGCATTTCAGATCAGCCCCAAAAGTTATTTCATGATAAAAACATCACGTTAATATACATACACCAGCATATAACTAAAGGACTGCGCCTAAAAAACCAATTCCCCGCACCAAAACCCTATCTAAATACGTACCTATCTACATATGCTTAATACTCTTCGAAGTACATCATACAACACTAATCTACATCATGTTATCCTACTCAACCTTCTCCTCCTTTTGGTCTTTGTTGTGGTTATCCTCGTCCATCGAGGCCACGGCGACCACCTTCCCCTTCAGTCTCCTCACCACTTTCTCATCCACCATGTACAGAAACTGCATTCCCTTCGTCTGCGCCTCCACCGCCGCGTTCAATATCTTCCTCTCGTTCTTCTTGTACGCCAGAGGCAGCGTCATTACCATCACAACCCCTGCCCAACCAAGAAATTTCAGCCGAACAGCGCAAAAACAAAGGGAGGAAAACAGCATAATTGTTCGTTAAAACGGTGGTTAATACTTTTAACCACGGTCAACTCGACCGTGGCTAAAAAGGGTGAGATTCGAATCGATGTGATCACCTAAATAAACCAAGGTTAGGAAATCGACCAAGCTCCCGAGGTAGGCAAGAAACCCGAGCTCAACGACGAGATGCGTCAACACTCTCCAGTCTCCATTCGTGCTCATCCGGACCAGGCACCGGACCGCTAGCTCGATCCCCGATCCAACCGATCGGGCCGCCTCCACCACTCTCTCCTCCCTCACGAACTGCCTGTTCGTCAGATCCGGCTCTTCCCTTAAACATCCAAAAAAAAAAACAGCACTTTTAATTACACTCAAGGGGACGATTTGAGAGTGGGGAAAAAAAAAATTAATTAAGCTTTGGAAAACTTTCACTACTTCCGGAAAAGCCTGACGAGGTGGCCGTAGAGGTAGAGGGAAGTGACGACCGCCATGCCGATCCACACCACGACGGTGACGAAGTTGAATTTGTAGACGTCGAACAGAACCCAAGTCGCCGTCGCGACGGTAACGACGAGGGCGCTCCATAGCGGGCGCCTCCACAGAATTATGTCGCCCAACGTAGCGGCGGGGCCCGCGGCCGACGGGAAAAACGGGGCGGTGCTGGATTCGGAAGTGTCCGGCATAATCTCCGGCCGAAATTTTTTTTTCAAGTTAAAGAGTAGAAGTGAAGCAAAGGGAAAGTTTGATGAGATATGGAAAGTCTTTTTCTTTGGGGGGGAAAGTGTGGGCTAGACTTAAAAATCGTTTGCTGGTGGCGGGGGTTTGGGGAACCGGGGGTAAATGGTTACACGTGGATGAAAACGTGGACGCCGTACTGCGAGGTGGCAAGTGGCAAGCTCCACGCGGCGTGAGGGTGAGGAGGGTGGGGAGATACGTCTGTATCTTTTTGTCTTTTCTTATTGGGTAGTTGTGTAGAGAACGGCTACGGTGCTAATTGTACAATAGTTAGCATCGTCCTAATCAAGGGAAAAACTATTACTAGTTTGAATTAGTAGTGATTTAGCTTAGATGTTGTATTGATTTTATAATAATCCGTAGTGATTTTTCTCTTGTTTAGGACGGTGCTAACTATTGTACAATTAGCACCGTAGTCGTTTGTGTATCTATCCATTCATACGAGGAAGATAGGTCCAAGTTCTTTTTTCCTTCTTTCACGGCGGCTTTTTAAGTTTTTTTTTTTTTTCTTGTTTCCATGCATGTCGCGAATATTGATTGGCCGCACAACTTTTTATATTAGTAGAGGCGTTCGAAATTCGAATTATCCGTCTGAGTGGAGGATTAATAAAACCCTTTTGATAACTCGAATTGGCAATTCAAACACAAAAGCGAATGGTGGAGGCCGGAGGGTGAGTAAGCTTGCGGTGCTTAACTTGCATAATCAAATCTGAATTTTTTTTTAAGTGGGCGGCAAGATAGGGCTGAAAGTTTGATGCTGTTATTTGGGATATATCGAATATCGTACCGAATTTGTCTATATTTGGTATTATTGAATGTATGTATTATTTTTTGAGATTGGGATTGGATTGGATTTCAATTGTTTTTCGCTATTAGGGATTATGGGATGGGATCGGTATATACTGAAATACCGTTTAATACCAAAATATAAGCTAATGTGTATTTAATCCTCTCAAGTAGACTCTCTCATTCACTATTACACGACCATCAACCACCAAGAATGTCATTTAATCATACATAGATCATTCCTTAACTATTTCACACTTTAGAAGTCCCCATCCAACTCCAATTTGACTTTCCAATTTAAGCCTCTCGTCTCTCACCTAATCTCTTGTTATTTTCATAACACCAAAAAGCAAATAATAGTATTAGTCAGCTGTCAACCTCCAACTTGTCAAATTAAAGATTACCGATGACAAGAACTTGAGATGTCACCTCTCCTCCATTTTCTTTATACATAACCTAGCTCTAGGCAAACTCAATACTCTTTGCTTAATCTTTTTGGCCAAAATTAAACAATAAAATCTAATTTACATATTTAATTATTAATTATAAAGGTAATTAATTTTGTATTCGATACTACCGATTGGGATACCGAAATATTTAGGGATTGTGATACCGAAATTATTAAGGGATTGGGATTGTGATTGATTTTAGGGTGTAATTCGGTATTCGAAATTTCGAAATTTGGTATTTGGATACCGATATCGTACCGATTTCTCGATTTCCACCCCTAGCTGCAGATTTAATGGTTGGAAATTAAAGATATTTTATTTTCCTTATTTTTTAATTGGATCATATCTTCTTCTTTCTAACTTGTATTTCAAATTTTTTGCACACATGGAACGAGTTCGTTGTGATCTACAAAATGAGATCCATTTTCAATATTTTTTTGAGAAAAATTGTTTACCTCTCGTTACCAACTGCATACCAAATGGTAACACCTTCGTTTTAAAGTCGTTTTTTTAACTATTTGCACAGAAGGATGAGTTCATCATGATTTATTGGATCTACAAATTTTCGCGGGGCGGGGGGTGGCGGGGGTGGGGGGGGGGGGGGGGGGGGGGTGGGGGGGGGCATACAGGACCATAAAATAGCACCCCGTACCACCCTGGTATAAGGTGGTAATTGGTGGTAAACAATGTTGTTGTGAATAGCGAGCCGCTAAATATTCAGATCGCATATTAGATCGCAAGTATAATGGTGTGGTTTGGCTCGATTGCAAAAATAATATGTGTGGTTTGGAGCGGTTTGACTGCACCAATACCTATTTCTAGCAGATTGGGTTGGACAAAATTACTTATCATAAAGTTACTCACTTGATCCGCTTCCAAAGAGAATTGTGTGGTTCTTTCCGCTGATCGCTCTTCCATAGAAGATGAGTTTGTGCTAGATTCGATTGACAAGTAAACCCCAACAACTCTGCATAGCTTTACGGCCCAACAACAATTACTCTCACCGGCCCAACATGAATAGCGTTATGGGCCAACACACTTTATATGTATCTCATAATCTTTTCTTGTATTCCCATGAACAGAGGAAAAGTAAAAAAAAATTACATTTCATACTTATTGTATACTTATTGTAATACTTTGGGGAAAAAAAATATATACTTAGGGGTCATATACTGAGAGTGTCCTTTTCTCTATAAGTCTTAGGGGTCATATACTTATTGTAAAACTTTGGGGAAAAAAATTATATACTTATTGTAATAGAATCAGCCAACAACTGACAACCAAAGCTTCAATCTATAGTATCAAATTTGTAAAAACCCAAAAATCAACATAGATATTTTATTCTCAAATAATCCGTAAAAAAAACTACTTTTTCCTATAAACATGTATAATCTGAATGTCCATCTCCGATATGAATTAAAACAAGAGAACTAATCAAACTTGCATGCTGATAATCTAGGTTTTTCATCTATTCTGCCGTTTGTGTTCTTTTTTTCTTTTCATTTTGCAGGTGAAGCTGCTCAGAGGGGTGTATCCTTATCTTGCTTTCTTTGTCAGCTTATTATGTGTTATCATTATCTTGCTTTCTATGTATGTCTCTCAACACTACGCTGCTTTGCATCCTATGTGTTTATTACATTGACTTGTGAAGCTCCTTGAAGATATATCCTTATTTTACTTGAGTTTGAGTATGTTTATTCTGTATTATCAGTTTATATGACAAGACTGTTCAGAGCGATCCATATTGTGGCTTGAAAGGCTCTTGAATCAATAGTTCGTTTAGTAACGACTACTGTATTTCTGTATATTATCTGTAACTTATGCCTACGTATATCTATCAAAAAAAATTCCGTGTGTAAGTGAAGGAGAGATGTGAAGGCTCATGGGTCCTCCGTTTCCTTCCATCGACCTAATCAAAGAAACTTTATAGAACAAAACATGAATAATGCCTGTCGCCATGAGAAAACAGAGCTTTCCAGTTATCACCATCCATGCAATTTGGAGGGACCCTCTTAATGTCGCCAACCACCAACCATTACCAACTCCATCCAAACGGTGCTTGCTTCACGCGCAGCTGTATTGAACCCCGTGTGGATCCCACTCTACTCTTCTTTGGGTTCCGCAATGATTGTAGCATCGTATAGAAGTTATACCGAAAAAGTTAGTGATACAATATTATGTACTAAAATTGTGGTTAAATCATGATTCAATAGTTTTCCACCGATAAAATCATTTATCGATTAAACTGCAATTACTTTATTTTTTATTGAACAGATGGATACGATAGAATTTGTAAAGCATTGGTTATTTTGTAAGCCCAATTCCCGTAGGTCACTAGGGAATAATTGTGGCCAAAGTGTAATTATCACTTAATAATTTAATATATAAGGTAAATCCTATATTGATTAGGTTAATGAAAAGGTAAATTTCTAATATACCCTGATGGTGGGTCTATATAAAGAAGCTCTAGGATTGGTCCTCTCTCAACCCATTACGTAGAATTTCTTAGCCATCACAGAATTCTCTAAACCTAAAACCTAAAGGGGTCAAGAGGGAGAAACTCAATTCCGGTGATTACTACTCCAGCGCCGCCGCCGCTCTCGTCATGGATCGAGGTAGGTTTCCCCGATCTATTATCGATTCGTGAAATCATCTAATTCTAAGATCCATGCTATTATGATCTATGTTTACATGTGGTATCAGAGCCTTAGGTTTACATGAATAGATGATTTTCGCTTACGTATTTTATTTCCGCTGCATCTGTGCGCCAAGCTCTGCGTATGAGAGCCATTATGCTTCGGCTGTAGGGTGTCCAATTGTCAATTCGCCATTATGCTTCGGTTGTAGGGTTTAAGTTTCCAATCTTCCTTTTCCTTTTATTTGTACCTTTTGTCCAGGCACCTGTTTGTCAATTTCCAATTCATCTGCTTTGTCAATTTTATTGATTAAGCTACTGTTTGTACCTTTTGTATCGAAGGGATAAAGAATTTGTATTTTATTGATTAAGCTACTGTTTGTCAATTTCCAATTCATTTGCTTTGTCGTTTATTGACAAGGTCTTGCTTCTGTGGGTGCAATTATATATGCTTGATCAAATTCCATGAGTTCTTTCTTGTTGCTATCTATTGGCTTCGGCTATAATATGTTTGAGTTTCCTTGATAATGAATTTGATCAGTAGGCTTAATGGTTGATCAGTTAAGCAATTATTATAATAGTAACCTATTAATGAGTCAAGTTTTGCATATGTGTATTTGAGAACTATGATTAACAATTGATTTGACTTGAGTTAAATTTTATCTTTGATATCTATGTTATGATTAATTTGTTAGTCACCAAAGTGGGCAAATTAAAAGGTTTATAGATATCAAGTTGAATCAAGTTCAACTACTAATGTTTATGTGATACTTTAAACTTGAAGTTCGTGATTATAAAATATTTTGAATCGCCCAAAGGTTGATTGCTCGTTTTATAACTCATGAACATTATCGTGGTAAATTGATGTGCTTGGTTAGATATATTTAGTATATCCAAAGATTGCAAGTATATCTAATTTGAGTATGTCTATCACCAATCATATTATTATTTTGAGCATCAATTATGATTATTTATCGCATATATATTGTTGTTTTGCCCAAAGGTAGCACCAATATATGTTTTATGTTTATGCTTCCGAATCTATATTATAGTTTATGCTTATTACCCAAAGCATTAATGTGTGAGTACATGTTATATATGTTTGCAGCATCTGTTCCTGTTTCTCTTCATTCGCAAGCCACGTTTGTTGTTAAGTTTAATGGCCTCAACTTCTCTGAATG